CTAAAATATTGGGTTTTGATAATTTTTACCACAAAGAGATAGGAGGAAGATCTGTTCAGGAGGAAGATCTGTTTACACAGACTTGACCATTACAAAATGTAGGGCCGGCCAGATAGCTTAGCAGACTAAAGCACCTGCAGGGACCAGGGTTTGATCCCTAGTGTGCTGTGCTGGCCCTGCCACCAGTACATGCTAAAACAGCGATTAAGACTGGATGTACTGGCATTCACCCTGTAATCCCAGCAATTATGAGGCTAAAAACAGGAGGATCACTACAAGTCCGATCCGTGTAAGGGGACAAGAGGTGGGTAGAGAGAGATTGGAGAGGGAAAGGAAAAGAAAAAAGAATTGAGATGCAGTATGTATATGTACCAAGGCCCCACAAGTAATGTAATCATTATGTACTGTATACATGTATTAATAAAAAATAAAAATTGAAAACATAAAAAAAAACAAAGATTTTACCAACCCTAGGACATGGGCAGTGGGCTACTTCCCAGCCCAGGCAGTCAGCTCCAAAGCCTGGACCTTCTGGTCATACCATGGGCCCCTAGAAGTGCCATTTTCTACTCCTGCCCTCTTTTCTTCCCTTCCACCCCACCCTCACCCCAGTCGCACCCCACACTTCACACACTCCAGCTGCCAATAGCTGCTCCTTCTTTCCCCGTCCCATGCCCCAACATGCTCTGCTCAGGCCTCTGTCACCACCTCAGGGTCTCCCCCTCCCCTTGTCTTCTCCTCCCCTCCCCCCTCTTCCTGCTCACTGTCCCTTCCACCTCCCAGAGTCTCTCCCCACACTTGGAGCCTCTCTCAATTCTGAGGTCTCCCCCAGCAGGGGATCCTACTAGTGCTCAGTACCTATTCCCTCTCCCGGGTCTCTCCCATGTTCTCTAGGGCCTGTCCAGCCCCCTGCTGCGCTGCCCCTCGCAGCGACTCCTGGACCGCGTGGTCCGGCGCTACGCTGAAGTGGCCGACGCAGGCAGCATCTTCATGGACCACTTCACAGACCGGGACAAGTTGCGTCTGCTCTACACGCTGGCTGTCAACACGCACCCCATCCTCCTACAGGTACGGAGGGCTTGCAAGCCCATCAAGCTGCGGGCTCTAGGGGATTTCCAGGGGCGGGCCCTAGGTCGATCTCTATTCCCCTCTCTACTGTGAACGTTGGGGCCACGGGCTTGTCCTGGTATCTTACAGCACTCAATATTTGTCTGTTGATTTCTGCAATGTGAAAACACTATGGCTATTGCTGAGGAAAGAGGGGTGGGAGCAAAAGGTTGGGAATGTGGTAGGAGGGAACCATAGCCACCTGTCCTGCTTTTAAAAACATATTTTTATTAGTGTATGTCTGCCGAGCATAATTCGGTTTGTCTTGGGGAATTGGTGCTTTTGCATCTGAACCTTTTTTCCTTCTGTCCCCTCCCGTGCACTCCCTCCCATGTTCCCCATTCCCAGATCACCTTCCCATCTCCACCAAGTCTACCTCCCTGTTCTCTATCATCTATCTTTTGTTCTTTAGATTATGTATCTCACTTTGTGTTTCTCATATAAGAGAAACCATGCAGCATTTAACCTTCTGAACATCTGATGTATTTTGCTTGTCATCATGGTCTCAAGATGCATTTATCATCTTAAAAATGACTTGACTTTATCCTTATTTAGGGCTGAGTAGTACTCCACTGTACATAAATACTGCATGTTCTTTACCCACTCATCTGTTAGTGAACATATAGGCTGCTTCCAAGATTTAGCTATCATCAATTGTGCTGCTATAAACATGGATGGGCTTGCATCACTGTAATATGATGTCTTTACCTCTTCTGGGAACATACTAGAACAGGACTAGCTGGCTCCAATTGACTTTCTTATTTTCATTTCTGTGGGATCTCCATACTGATTTCCACACTGGCTGTACCAGTTTAGACTCCCACCAACAGTGAAGAAAGGTTCACCTTCACTCCTGGAAGTAGTAGAAGGCCTTTGTGCAGGAAGGCAACTTTGACCAGTGCCTGAAAGATCAGTTCTTAGCAAGCTCAAGAGATGAGGATGTAGTCAAAGAAAGATTTGCACGGAGATGAGCCCTGCAGCTGCACTTGGAAAGGAGAAAAATAATGAGAACGAACCTAAGTGTCCATCAGTAGGTGAATGGTCAGATCAATGAAGGCCTGGGGATGCAGGCATGGTGGTTCTGTCTTCATGCAACTTCCACTCTATTCAACAAATAAATGTCTGTATAAGGTGAGAGCCCCATCCTCCTGGCCCCAAGGTTCAGTACACACAGATCACATAATGGACACCAAGAAAACTATGGAGTAGGAGAAAGACACAGGAAACAAAAAAGAGAGAAAGGAGAGACAGAAAGAGAAGAGACAGAATGAGAGAGAAAAGGCTGCAGAGAGACTATGAAGAAGCCATCAAAGAACATAAAAATTGGCCCAAGGGATGGCGGCTGAGTGCATAACCAATGACAACCCTCATTTATTGAGTATCGGCTGTGTATCAGGTAGTGTATTCAATGCCTGATATCATTATGCCAGTTAATGCTCACAACAAGCCCTGGAAATACTATTGTCTCCTTTTCTAAAGGTTCAGTGGGGCTCAGAGATATGAAATGACTTGGCTAATGTCACTCAGACAGTGCCATGATGGATCCAAGCCTGAGGTATACATGTACGTCCTGCCTGGCAAGAGTGGCATTTGCTATACTAGCAACAGAGAAGGAATTGCTCTTTGTGCTGCACTCAGAGAGGTCTTTGTACAGTTCTAACTTCAGTTGAGAGCAGCTGGCCACAGCTACAGCCCATGAGAGTGATGCCATAAGAAGAAGGGGCTTGGATAATACACTCAATTACTTGATCCTGGGCTCCACCAACAAAGGGCACAGTGTAGAGCTGTTTTCACATCTGTATGTTTATTTATTTGTTTATTTATTTTTGTAGTGCTGAGGGTTGAACATGCACCTTTGCTCTGTGCTTCATCCCAGCCTGTTCAGTTGATTGACCGACTTACTAATTGGGTGATTGACTGACTGATTTTAGTTTATTTATTTTTAATTTATTTTACTTTTTCATGATTTTATTGATAAACAAATAGTAATGAGACAGTTTCAAATCAAATTGGTAGGACAGTTTCGATAACTAACACATTGCATACATTCCTCCCAGTGGTTAATTGCTCTATAAGATGCGGACATGATATCCTATTTACAAACACCATTAGAACAAATCCCTCTATTCATTAAGAGAATGTAACTATATATCTATCCTAACAATTCAACACACAGATACAAAACGGACATTCATCCATATCCCCTTTTATTGTTTAGTTCTCTTATTTGAATATTACAGGTGTGTAAACTCAGCAAAATATTCTAAAAGAGTCCAGTAGCCCGTAATAGTATTCGATCTTTCCCTTGACTGGCAATGTCAGAAAATGTTGACCTGAGTCCTCTACAGCACAACATAACAGCATGGTTTTACTTCTTGTATTTCGTTTTTATACTTTTCTGCTGGATAGTTAAGACCAAGGTAAAGCAGGAACTATGCAACAAAAGTTGTAGCTTTTGGGTCTGATAAGGTCAGAGAAATCCCCTCAGGATTTATCCTGAGATCCTATACTTCAGATTGTAGAACCTTTGTCACTGTCAGCCATGTGGATGAGTCACGGCCATTGCTTGGCCAATGTGCTCTCTGCGAAAGCCAGAAAGAATGTTTTCTTTCCATGTGACTCTCCTTAGGCAGACTCTACATCATTGATCACCTTCCTCTTTGGCCCAAAATCTCCTTGATCAGAAAATTTGGAACACTGCCGAACTATATGATGTAACAATACAAGTTCTCATATGTCCTGAGTCTTAATTGAACATGGAAAGCTAGGGCCAAAATGGTAGCTCTCCTTGAAGCCCTCCCTTTTCTCTAATTTGGTCTGCAAATGTAGGTTGTTAACCATCCAGAAGACAAGCTTATTGTTATTAACATACAACTCAGGTTGTTAAGCTTAACCTCACTGTCTGTCTGAATATCAAACATCTTAGACATTACATGGAACAGGTATTTTTCATCAAGTATTGATATGTTGAAATTTAAGTCCCTACAGAATATGACAATAAAAATTTAAAAATTAGAATATACCTTAAAAATAGGCATAAAGAATTATATGCTTCTTATGTTTACACATAAGTCAAAAAACTAACCATATACAACCTTGAACCAGGACAGTCCCACAATATTCCTTTTCCTGTCTCTTGCTTTCATTCACCACCTTCTTTTTTTGAACAAGCATCTACCCAAGAGACAGCATGGCAGCAACTGTCATGTCATGACAAGCAGCCCGTATTCAGAAGAACAGAATGACAGGCACTCCAAACATGAAACTACTATTGCAGATTACCATCCACAGTGCAGTTGCTTAGTTCACAGGTATCAGTATATATAGTTAGTCAGGTTGAGAATCTTTCCAATTAACTGCTAGATTCAAAAACCTTCTGGAGATTCTCAAGATCATTGCCTTGCCCATCTTCTACATACAACTGTAGGGCTTTACTTATTCACGTTTCCTAGCTCTTCTCCTGTCCCTCTCTTGATTAGTTAATCCTCAAGATGCTGCTTTCCTTTTACTTCTACTATACATTTCTATTTGTATTTCTTCTTTTGAGTTCTTATATTAAGCAAAATATATGATATTTACACATGTGTGTCTGGTTTATTTCACTTATGAGTATATGTTCAAGCAGCATCCACTTCAATATAAAGGCTTCAAGTTTATCATTAATAGCTGAATAATACTCCATTGTATAAAATTACCACATATTCTTCAACCATTCCTCAGGTGATGGGCATCTTGGTTGTTTCCAAGATTTGGCTATCACAAATTGTGCTGCTATAAACATAGGCACACATACATTAATA